GAACCCAGATCCATTTGAACCTAAAACACATGTTCTTTCCACATTTCAGTCAGTTCTGTGCACACATACACACGCAACACAAGTACCACTAACCACTGGGAAGGGAAGTGTTAGACATTCTGATTTTGAGTTTACGTCTCTGGTTTTACAGTTATTTTCCCAGAGAACAAAGTTTTAAGTGCTTGCTTTTGCAGATTTGTATATACCATCAAAGTAAGTCGAATTAAAACTTTTTAAGACAATTTTGAATAAAAATGGTCTGAGACATGCAACAACCTCTGAAAAATTCCAAGAAAGATGGCATTTGTCTTCTGTTTGCCAGAGCCAATTGAGGAAGAAACGCTCCCTGGGGAGATGCTTTTAGTACAATTCCCACTGTCAGTTCCTTTGTCTTCATTTGTAGGGCAGCCAAATTATTGCACAAGTACTCACATTTCCCTCTAGGCCAAGTCTAGCTTCTGATTCTCCAAAGCTGTCTGTCTTGAACTGTAGGTCAAATCTGGGCGATGAATATTATTATTATTATCAGTATTATTATTATGGATTGATATCGCTGGGCGCTAAGACTTACCAGAGGGGACTTTTGGGCCAAGGGAGAGGCCTGGGTCCACTGGAAGCCTTACAATCTAAATTAGACTGAGTTGTATAACAGTTTTAGACATCTGATATGGAACTTGCCAAATTTCATGGCTTCAGGCACACGGAATGCACATCCCTGTTCCAGGGAGGCTAAATATTTTTCCAAATCAGTAGATAAAACAAACTCCCTGACCTCAACTTACTTCCTGGCGCCTGGAGTCCTGAGAAGCGGGTGAAGAGTGCCTGTCTGCTATCAAGTGACAGGACACATCCAGACTGGCTCCTGTGCTCAGGACCTCATGGTACCTGATCCCGTCTCCATCTTCCGAGCTAAGATTTTGGCCACAACTGAAAGATCTAAGTCCAGAGGGCAATGGGCCAGGGTTAGATACCATTAAATGCCATTGAATCAGCCTTGAAGGGCAACTGTGGCTTCTTGGTGCATGAGGCAATGCGCTGCAGCTGGAGGCGGGTGAAAGCTGGGGACCACAGACCCCGGGCAAATCACGTCTCCAGCGTCACATCTGAAATGGGAAGGTGGCTATACCGCTGTCTCTAGTAAATCTGATGCACAGATTTTAGACCTTACAGAGCCAACCAAGCAGGGAGTAAATCCATCAAAGAGAGCCTGAAGCTTCCGGCCTAACACTTGGTGTGGTGGACCAACTGTTCGACAGTGACATCTGCTGACCGTGTTCCACACTGCCCCCTCACAGACAGAACAGAATCAGCTAAGCTCTGGTTAAAATGTTCATGTTAAATGACTGGGGGCGGGGGTGGGGGGTGGCTTTCCATAGGTGGTCTAGAGAGAGACTACAAGCAGAAGGGAGATGGCAGAGATTAAAATGCGATACAGAGTGTTACAGACAATAAAAATTAAGTTCAGAACATCACAAAGGCCTTTGAGTCTTTTCCAGGAGAGGCACTGTAAACCTGTACTAGGACCTTCCGATATTTGTCAGCTCATTCCAGTCGGCATTTACTTTGAGGTTTTCCCTTGGCAGTCAGTTCCATCTGCCTTTTGGACTCTGCATTTGCATACGTACACACACACATGCGTTTCTCCCCACTTTCTCCTCTCCCTGCCCTATCCTCTTGCGAATAAGCCATGTTTGATCTAGAAGCTTGGGTTCCTGTCTCTTCTTTTTACTGAGTCATCTCAATAGTTTTCTCTCTGACATCTCGTGCTAAACACAGGGAGCCGTGCAGCCGCAGTCTCCCCTCACATCCTGTTTCATGTCCCTGCAGCTCAGCCAGCAGCTCAGGTCCCAAAAGACACACAACCCCACTTCATTCCAAACTGCCCTGAACCTGGTAGCCACCCTTCTCCCCATCAAGGCCACTGAACTGGCTACACTACTGAAGTGGACTCCCTGAGGGCACTGTTCACCCCACTGTAGGTCCTGACTGCTCACCCTCTGAAGGCTGGGAGGGTGTCCCTTCCCCCGTTCCGCATCCCTCAGGATCTACCTGGTACACTGCTGTGCATCCAAGTGGCCTTGGTAAATGCTTCCTGTGTGAATGAATGATCAGGAGGCTTGTTTTAATTCAAGGACATCAGGGTATTGAAAGGGTTTCACTCATAGCTATCGCCAGGCCCAAAAATGCAAAATTGGAAACATGGAAATTAAACATTTTCAAAGAAAAACTGAGTCTGTCTTCCTGGCATTTTCTATCATTATCTGTTAAAAAATTAAAGTTAAAATTAAAAAATAACAAGTAAGAAAACTCCTTTTGGACATTTGTCTCAGCTAAGATCACAACCCAGTGCTCTAAGTTTCTGTAATTTTTGCTTTAAGGAGTGAGTGTGTTTAAGTTCTTCAATGGAACGCTCAAAGACTCCTGTGTACTGAGGGTCAGGAACTGAGTTGGAAATTGGCACCATCTCCCAGATCTCACACTGGGACCTGCTTTGAAAAGTGACAGCAGAAGGCTGAGAATTACAGCTTCAATGGATTTAAGAAAATAAATGAAACAGTGGTGGTTTGCTGCTAAAATTCTCCTTTACTAGACTAAAATTTTTTCTATCGATTTTCATTTCGTAGATAAAATGCACATATGAAAAAACAGTATTTGTTTAATGTTGTCACAAAGATGAAATGCACATAACATCTAGAAGTAAACATCTACTTTTAGTCCTTTTATGATCGCTGGGCTCCTTGCAGGGAGCCGATATAGATCTGAGGATGGGTTTTCATGTTGGCTGAGGTTGTTGAGTAATCATGGAAAATAAACCCTCCAAGCAAGATCTGACATAATCACTGGGTCTCACCCTTCTTGACTTCTTTCTAGGGCACGCAGGATGTCTGTCACTTGGAAGGGAGACTGATGCAAGACTGAATGGATGGACTAAAGCAGAGACCCACATAGAAAGATGACATGTGAGCAATTAATTCCACAAATGGTGCCTGCCACATCTTCGTGCTTTGTCTGGAGCCCCAGGGAGGTAAAGCTGACTCACCACATAGCTACATCCACGGAGACAAAGGGATGATGACTCCCAGCCAAGTCCATCCTGTTTTGAAATGTTGAGGGGCCTCCTGACAAGGGGGTCACGTTGAGGTTTGCCTCCATGACTTACTCTGCAGAGGGGTGGTCACTGCTGGGGTAACCAGCTGAGAGGAGGGGGTATTCAAAATAGAAAAAAGGAGCTTAGGAATTCTCTCTTGGGATAGCACGTGGAAGCTTTCGGTATCTTTAATACCCCGGGAAGCAGGGAGCAAGGCAGCTCACTCCAGTGGACCATTAACAGGGAAGATTGACCAAAGGACTGTTGTACTTCCTGTTGTGCTCAGTAACTCTCTGCCTGGTGTCACGTCCGAGCTCTTAGGAAAGACTCTCTCCAGTGACGTGACCTTGGCGTGGCAGCTATCGGGCAGGAGTGGAAGGGTCATGTTCCCTGCTTAGGCCAGTTTTGTTAAAAGGGAAATGACACTCTCCACTCTCACTCCCACCCCCACTAGAGTGGAGATGGTGGCGGGCATACGTATGAGAGAGTGCCATGGAACAGTGAACTTGGGGGACAAATCACAGGGTTATTGGATTCAGCTGTTCCTCTTTCCAGGAAATTTTCTTTCCAGGGTTCACCTTGAAGGATCTGGTTATTGTTTTTTTAAACAAAATTGGGGATGGGGGACAATTACTTACAGGCATCACTGTTTCCTAGATGAAATGATCTGATATGTAAAATAAAAGAAGTTGTTATAAAAAAAAGTTGGAATGGACTGAACTGTGTCCCCTCAAAATTCATATGTTGAAACCCTAACCCCCCTTTAGGACTGTATTTGGAGACAGGGCCTTTAAAGAGGTAAGTAGAGTCAAATGAGGTCATAAGGGTGAAGTCCTAATTCTATAGGACTGGTGTCTTCATAAGAAAATGAGGCGAGGGTAGAGCTCAGTGGTAGAGCATATGGTCCTGGGTTCAATCCCCAGTACCTCCATTAAAAAATTAATTAAATGAATAAATAAACCTAATTGTCTCCCCCTAAAAAAATTTTAAAAAGAAAGAAAACGAAAGCAAGCAGAGATCTCGCTCCTGCAGGCCCACAGGGAAGAGGCCATCTGAGGACTCAGCCTCCTACAAGCCAGGGAGAGAGGACTCACCGGAACCCCCCCCCCCGCCCCCGCACCTTGATCTCAGACGTCTATCCTCCAGAACTGTGAAAAAATAAATAAATTTCTGTTACGTAAGCCACCTGGTCTGCGGTATTCTGCCATGGCAGCCCGAGCAGAGCTATACAGAAGGCAAGGCCCCCAGCTCCTGGAGTAGGTCTTGCCATTTGCTGAGGTGCCTGTTAAAACATAAGTCTTCACAGGATAACGCAACTTCCCCAGGGACCGACCGCCTGGGGAAAGAGGCATCTCAGCAAACCGCTGTTGGTTTGAACAGCGTGCAGTACGTGGGGAAAGGGACTCCACGAGCGGAAAACAGCATCTTCGCGGTTCGACACATTTCCTTTCCCAGAAAACATCCGCATTTTGAGAGCGAATCAATTCCAGTATCTCTGAATACCCTGGTCACTTTTTCTAGTATTACTCAGTATGCTATGTATTCCTGCCTGCATCCGGGAGGGACTTTCAAATGCCAGCATGTTGCCTGGAACACACTAGACCCTCGGTCGTTATTTGAACTCAGCTGAACTTCAGAATAAAACAACAAAGACTGCATTTCTGAATTTTGAACTAACAGAGGGCAGGAATGAGGGTTGAACTCATCCTTGTATCCCAACCCCAGGGCCCTTAAGAGAGGGTATGCAACAGCCACTCAATGAATGTTGGCTTATACATTGAAATTTAACAAAACAGATACCCAGCCATTAGAAATAGCTGATGAAAACTGCTAGTTCTTTTCACATTTGGATGAGATTTGCTCATGTTTGCCTCAGTTTGCCTCAAGTTTCTCAATCTGGGTTTTTGTGTTGTTTTTTTTTTTTGCAACATTCCTGGCATTGTGTCAGAAAAACATCATAAACTAGCGGTCTTAACACAATCAGCAGAACTTCTGAGTCACAACTAAGACACAACCCAGGAATTTGAAATGCAAATAAACCATTTTTTCTTGAAGTATCTGAACCAAAAATACATAGTAAATACAATCTAGTAGCACAGATGGTTAAAGAGACTGGAACTTTAAGATACAGTAATTTTTTTCACAGTGTTGAATTAGTAAAGCAGACACTTTCTGCATCATGCTTTTTATTTTTGATAATTTGAAAGCTGCCTCTCACCCTTATACGTCAGAACAATGGGCTGAACTGGATATGCAATAATTTTCATCCCATAACAGAAGGTTAAATGATCTGTTTAATCCTTTGTTAAGATAAGTGATGTCTCTATAACTAAACTAAATCATGTTCCCCTCATCCATTCCTTGTTGAAATGTTTGTATTGTTATTTTGCTATGTTTTCCTGTACCATGATTTTGGAGTCATATAATAAAGATTTGCGGGGGCGGGGGGTGGGCAACAAAAGCTATCTGTCCTGGGGCAGGGAAACTCTTTTCTCTCCCTTACCTGTGGATGAAATGTTGACACATAACAGTCTTATGATCGCTGGGGAAAATCATGGCCTCTAATTAGGGCTCCTTCGTGTTTGGAGCCAGATCTCCACATTGTTCTTGGTCAACCTGTTCACGTACTGCAAACCTGATTTTTGACCCTTAAAAAAAAGAAGGAAAAAAAAAGAACAGCTTTATTTTTTGTTTGGAGGGCTTTTGGGGGGGATTGGGGTGGTGGGTTTTTTTTCTCCTACCACAATCTCCTTTATTTAGTCTGCCCATTTCTAGATGCTCACGTGTTGAAATTCAAGGAGAGATGAAAGCAATCAATCTTCAGAGCTCCCCTTCTCAACTTGCTTGCCATCTTGCCTTCATTTTTTTTTTAAGGGCATCAAGCACACCTAGCATTTATTCATCACAAACCTACAGACCTCTCAGTACACCCTCCTTGGGGCTCAGCCCCAACAATCCAGAGCTGACAACCTTGGGTGTATGTGCTGGAGGGATGGGGAGCGTCTCTTGGAGTTCTGGCATCTTGCAGCCAACATTCCTACAATCACCTCTCTCCACACAGAAGCTGATTCCACAGAAGCTGTTTCAGGTGCAATGGCTTGGTCCACCAGCAGAATTTGAAATCTGGGGGCTGTGGGCTATGTCTAATGTTGACATTTTTTTTAATTCATTATCAATGCCAAAGAAAAAGAAAAAGGGAAGACCTGGGCCTACATGTCCAAATGGCAATAACTGGCCAAAGCCGAGTAGCAGCTGCTCTTTTGACCGGAGGGCACCCTTCAGTCCAGCTCAGTCCCCGCTGCTCCCGGAGCACAGCTAGCCCAGCGCATTCGTCTTCCTTACCTGTCTGGCTCTTGAAGGCCTTTGAGTCTGGGGCCTCTTATCGGCATCAAGATGCCGATAAGGAGACTTAGTGAGAACAAGAACGCCCCTCCCACACTGACAGGCTGCTAATCTAAACCTGAGTGGTCCAGGACGATAGCCGCTGGCCTCATGTGGCTACTGAGCACCTGAAATGTAGCTAGTGTGACCAGTTTACTTTTTACTTAATTTTTCATAATTGTTTAAAATAATGGCATAAAGCTCTGTTGGACAGTGCTGGTTGAGGTCAAGAGAGATTAAAAGATTGAAAGCTTTTGTTACCCACATGCAGATGTCGGTCCATTATTCTTTCACTCGGGATGGAGCAGACACCTTCAGTTTAGATCCTGTCCTGTTAGCTCCCCTCCACCACAAGCACATCACCCCCTCTGAGCAGAAAGGTTGATCAGGCCCAGAGATTCCAAGTCCCCAGGGTCTCATCCTCTCTCATCTGCTCCCAATGGTCAGTGCACAGAAAGTCACTAGGATGTAATTTATGTGTTGAAATTCAAAGAGAGATGAAAGTGACCAATCTTCAGAGCCTCCCTTCTTGACCTTTTTGCCATCTTGCCTTCATTTTTTGTAAGCGCATCAGGCACATCTAGCATTTATTCATCACAAACCTACGGACCTCTCAGTACACCCTCCTTGGGGCTCAGCCCCAACAATCCAGAGCTGACAACCTTGGGTGTATGTGCTGCAGGGATGGGGAGCGTCTCTCGGAGGACATCTGTTGAGAAGCACAGAGGGTAACCGGGAGGCAGATACATGGGCCCCTCTCCACTTGCTGGGCTAAACTGTGCTGGTATGTATTCTATGGACCAGCTTAGAAAACCAAGTAAATGCTTGAGAGAAAGGGACGAGAGACATCTCCATGAATAGGGGATGGGTTGATCTTAGGGCTTGTTCTTAAGAGAGTCCACAGCCTTATTAGGAGCCCAGTGGAAGGCAGGGACCCTCCAGGGTCAGTAGCAGTAGAGGGGACAGTCCCCAAGGCATAGAGGGCCGCTTAGAGAGCAGAGGAGATCAAATGCAGAACCGAACTCCATCTGGAGGCAATGGTTTCCTAAAGCTGGGCGGTGCCTGTGCTTCTGTCAAAATGCTTGGAACAGAAGCTCTTTCTCTACCGCCCTCTTCTGCTTCTAAAACTCCACCCAAACCTCTCCTCTCAGACCCCTCTGGGTGGGTATAAAACAAATTCTAATCAATATATCAAGGATGGAGGACAAGCTCACGGCCGATCTGCAGCCTCTGCTCTGGGACGCCGTCCTCAGTCCCTGGGGCTGTCTCCCCGCCGCAGACTTCAGGGAGGCCTGCAACTCCGAAGCAAAGCGTGTGCGGCTTTATCTTCCTTGCGTTTTACTTTCAGAGTTTTATTTTCCTCCTTCCCTTACAGCGTTCCAACTGCTGGGCTAAGAACTCACGTTACTGAGTTCCTAGACGCCGAAGCTCATGTTTAATCAATCGGCAGTTCCTGCGCAGCCCACAGCCCCGCGCCCCGTGCGCTTGCTCGGAAGTGGGCCGTGGCCCGTAACTTACTTTCTGAGGATTCCGACGAAGCTGCCTGACTCTAAGACTTGTGAGACGTGGGACATTGAAGCTTGCTGCCAGAGGCGTCTGTAGAATGTTGTTCAGTGGAAATCGAGTTGCAGAATTGGAAGTCTAGAAGAAACCCGAGTCTGCTCCCGCCAAAGGCAGGATCGAGTTTAAACCGCCCCTGCGGGAACTGCAGCTCCTAACACTCCGCGCCTTCTGGCTCCTTCACCCTCCAAGATGGGCACGGGTAAGAAGAAAATACATAAATATTTTCTTTGCCCAATTCACTTATTCAACTTTTCGTTTTATTATTTACTTTCCTTTTGGAATCAGCAACTATGCCATAACACAGTTTCTAAGTGGGCCTCACCTTGTCCTTGACAAACCAAGAAAAGATGTACAGGAAAAAGCAAATGAGATGAGACTGAGAAGAGCGGGCGGCAGGAAGGCTGGTGAGGAATCAGGCCTGGACCCGCTGTCTGCCTCCCACGCCTCCCTGTGTCTCCTAGGAACCCGGGCACTCAGAGCACCTGCTGGCCTGAGAGGAACCCGATGGTCTGGGTGGACCGCAACTGCCTTTGCCTTTGCTTTGCAAGGGAGGTAGGAGCAAGATGGAATTTGGAAGAGACCTGGGTTTGGAACACAAGCTTTGAGCATGCGCTCTTTCCCTGGCCCCCAGGGAGCAAACACAAGCTGTTGCAAATCACTGTGGTTACCAAAAGCATATGAGCAGTGGGAGGGAACTGCTCTTGGCCTTGGCTGTACTGCCGGGAATTAAGGGCCACGGACAGGAGCACTGGAGCGCTGGAGCGCTGGGGTGAACATACTGAAAGTAGTCTGAACAGAACAGAAAATAGGAGCAAGGAAATAAAGTATTTGTTTAGGTATTTCATAGATTAATTATGACAGTCCCAATAAAGAACATTTTCATTAGATCTTAATCTTTTCCCCAATATTTTCCTGATGCAGAATGTATTCAATAGTGCAATTAGACACCAAATATTATACCATTGTGAAAATGTATAGAATGCAGTAAATTTCCCACTAATTTCATTTTTCGTATCCAAATTCTTAATTCAGTAGTGAGTACTACTGACAAGGTAGAAATTTAGTTTGATAGTCTTTGGCTCTTGAAGAATTTTTTAATAATCACTTCATCAAACTTAAGAGGTAAGAATTGTATTTATTTTATAGCTCTTTTTTCTTTTAGTAATACTGAGTACTGATAACAGGACTATAAGATAAAAATCAAACATTCAAAAAGTAGGTGACATTTCATTGTTTTCCCAGTTTGTTCTTATTTTTTGTTTTCATTTGGTTTCGTTTGTTTTTTGTGGAACGTTGACACTTCAAAAATTTTTACCCAAGGTCTGATTGTAACTTTGCTACCACCTTCTGGCAAAATAATGAACATCTTATGATCTTTGATTAGAATGAGTTTCCACAGTTTTGTTCACTTCATGTTGTAAATTTCTTTCACCTGCATCTATCACAGCTAAAAACAAAAGCTGTTAAAAAGCAAAGATGGCAGAGGAAAGCAAGGTCACAGACTCTCTCTTCTCCAATACCTAAAGAAATGAATTTTTTTTTAATGTCTTTAACATCCAATATTCAAGAGTGACAATAAAAGAACAAAATGGTGTCCCAACAAATCAGGAGAAAATCTGGGAGGAAAAATGTTAAATGAGAACGTGGCACCCCCCGAGGACACTGACGCTGCAGCCTTCCTCACTTGCCGGGCAGCTCGAGGCAAGAGGCTAAGTAGAGCTCCTCCTTGTTCCTTCCAAAGTCTGCTCCTTGTCGCACCTCATTTCCCTTCCTTACCCCTTGAAAAACTGAGACTGGAGGGAAGGGGGCAGGGCACAACCATTAAAAGGACGATACAGCAATTCTCACCAAGATGGTGGAAGATTCAACTCCCAGTAGACCTTGAGCTTCAGTATACACTCATTGAAATACAATAGCTGCTAAACGGCCCTCCCACAGGTGCCAGGAGCGGTTCATAAAAGCTCAAAAAGTAGCTAATGGCCCAGTTCCTGGGAATCCTAGCCCCTTCCCCAAAGTCGTTGGAATAATTTTCCCATTTGTTAGCATATGAAGTTATTGAGCCCAAAAAAACTAACAACCCCGAACCTCTAGGCCTTTTCTCTTACTTTTTGCAGTGGTTCACACTCTGTCTATGGAGTGTGTGTCTACATTTACTTTAAACTAAACACCCACCCCCATGCCTCTTGGCCTCTCTGGCCTTCTGAGATGGCCTAAGCTCAGTCTATGGAGTGTGCATCTCTCTGATTAAATCTACCTTCACTCAACTATGGCTCACTCTTGAATTCTTTCCTGCGCAAAGCCAAAGACCCTCACTTGTTGGCGTGCATCCCAGGAACTCTCCACAGACCGGGATATGGCCATCCTCTCATGCCCCACATTTTCCCTCTATCAAAACTACACTAGAGATATCTGGCAAACGCCACCTTAACCGTGCTGTCAAAGTTATCACCAGTAATGCGACAAATAAACATCATGTACCTCCTGATGAGATGTACCAAGAAGGCTACATTGTTACGGAAACGACAGGCCAGCCAAGAAACAAGCACCACTCGGAGTACTCAGATGTATTACGCTGGCGGGCTCAGAGGGGCTTCTGTTCCGAAGCTCTGAGCACCTCCAAGACATGTGCATGAGGTTTTATAGGGTAAAGTACAAGCTTGGGGTATTCGGCCAATAGGCATGGAACAGCTTTAGCAGCATTATCATCACAAAAGTGGAGGTGGGGAGGCAGCAAACCAACATTCCAAAGCCAGATATGTATCTTTGAAAGTCCAGCTGCCTAGCAAAAAAACATGAACAGCTAACCAACACTAATTAACCTAGATTTACAAGTTAGTCCAGCAGAACTCAGATCAGTATTCCGATACTTAGATTTGTGAGTTATCTTGTTAGACCAGCCCAGCCTCTCCTTCACATTCCTAGACTTGTGAGTTATCTTGTTAGACGAGCCCCGCTTTTCTTCACAACATCACTTCTGCAGTATCCTTGCTGAAAAGGCAGAACCTGCATTTAATCATCAGCATGCATCAGACAACCCAAACTGAGAGACATCCTACAAAATAACTGACCAGTATGTTTTAAAATGTCAAGGTTAAGAAGGATTATGTAAGTGTTTCAAATTAGAGGAGCCCAAGAAGACATGAATGGAAAATGCAATGTGTGATCCTGGATTTGGTCCTGGACCAAAAAGAAGGACATTGGTGGGACAACGGTACAATTTGATTAAAGTCTGTAAGATTACATCATTGTATCAATGATAGTTTCCTGATTTGATAATTATATGGTCATTATAATTATATGGTTAGTATCAGATACAAACATTGTAAGAATCTGAGTGGAGTGCTTACAGAAATCCTTTGTGCTGGTTTTGTATCTTTTTAAAGCCTGAAATTATTTCAAAAAGAACTTGAAGTTTTTCACACTACAAATTATTTGAAGGCTTTAGAGCCCTCACTAAGCCTCCATATTACTGTCGCTTACAGACCTCCTGGTCACTCTTTCCTTGTGTATCAAAGATGACTACATTCATTCAGTATCCTAGTCTCCCCTTTCCCTGACCTAGTCATCCAAAACAAATTTCCCTACAATGTATAAAATAGATAAACAAGGACCTGCTGAATAGCACAGGGAACTATATTCAATATCTTGTAATAACTTATAATGGAAAAGAATCTAAAAAACTAGATAGATAACTGAATTACTTTGCTGTACACCTGAAACTTTGTAAATCAACTATACTTCAATAAAAAAATAAAATAAAATTCACTGGAAAAAATAATAATAAAACAAAATTTCCACCTCTCCTCAGCCACCTCTGAACTCTTGAATTCAAGTACCCAAATTATAGCTTATTAATTCAAAGTCTCACTCCAAAAATTTGAGGCATCCAACTCATTAACATTACCATGTTTCCAGTGTCCATCACCTATCCCCATCCCCCACACCATATACTATCTTCCTTCTTTAACTACCTTACATTCCAGGTCCAACACTTTATTCTCTTGCAAACATTCAACTCCCTTGGCCATCTCACTCTCTATTCCATTCACTTTCAAGACTCAATACTGCTTAAATCCACTAGCTACACAAACAGCTAAATATCGCTAGGGAAGAAAAAATCATACATACATGCTGACTGGTCCCATGTCAAATCATGGACACGAATGAACACTAATACCCAAGTAGGCATTAACACTGCCAGACAACGCTTCTTCAAAATCTTGGTCCCACTGTTGAAGACAAATGTTGAGGAAACCAAGTTTGGGTTGTATTGGGATGAGGACTTTGGGCGATACTTCATTGCTGGCATTCCAATAATTGTTGGAAAAGGAAGACAGTGAAAGTGTGACACAGAATGTCTTTGTAATTTTTTTTTCATCTAGATAATTGTAATGTATTGTCATGATGGAAATAAACAAACAAAACTTTCTTCCGGATTTTGTAAAATGAATTCCAGACCTTTTAGGTCACACTTTTGTTTTTATTCTCAGGTACCAAGCAGCCTTGTTAGCAATTCTTTCTGACATTACTCTGCTTCAAGATCAAGTCCCAAATTCAGAAAAGACACTTGGAAAATGATACATATCTGTGATATAAGAGATATATATATTTGGTCTCCATCCTGTTTCCTGAAACCTGGAATCTCTGAAGTGATAAGTGTCTTGTATGCTAATGAGATGACTGGAGGCTGGGGACTCCTGGACAGCCTCAGAGTAGAGGCTGGTTGCCAGGGAACCAAGCTGTGCTTAGAGGATTGGAACTTTCAGCCCCACCACATAATCACTAACTGTCAATGATTTCATCAATTCTGCCTATAGTGTTTAAGTCCTCACAAAAAACCTCCCTGAAGGATTTGGAGAGCTTCCGGGTTGGTGAACGTGGAGGTGCTGGGAGGGTGGCGTGCCTGGAGAGGGCATGGGAGATCCGAGCCCCTCCCTCATACCCTGCCCTATGCATCTCTTCCATCTGGCTGATCCCTGAGTTGCATCCTTTTATAATGCACTGGTAATCTAGTGAGTAAACTGTTGTCCTGAGTTCTGTGAGCCGTCCTAGCAAATTATTAGACCTCTGATTTATAGCTGGTCCCTCAGAAGCTCACGTGACAATCTGGCTTTGCCAGCACCTGAAGAGGGGTGGGGGCAGACTAGTGCAACTGAGCTCTTAACCTGTAGCGTCTGACACTAACTCCAGGTAGCGTCAGAACTGATTCAACTGTAAGGCACCTAGCTGCTGTCCATAAAGAATTAGAGAATCGCTTGATGTGGGAAAAATAATAATAATAATACATATTTGAAGACCAGAAGTGTGAACACTGTGTATAGACAAGGGAAAACCGAAGAGTTTTTCCAAACAGTCCTGTTAACACCAGCGCCAATCAAAACTAAGTACTGGTCCAAAATGAATTAACCACAGAATTGAGAGTAGGTGCCCAGAAACACTTATAGGAACTTGACGCTGGTACACATCCAAGCAAGGGTCTGTAGCAAAGGGCAGAGAGCACTTAGGAGTTGTCCCACTCGCACGGGAGCTGCATGCCTGAGCCGATTAGGAGTCATGAACAGCAGGACAATGTATTACTTTAACCTAAAGCATGTACAAATCTTAGAAAATGTAAGCATTTCTTTTCATAACATAATTTTTACGATAATGTTCATTTTTAATC